AGAAAACAAGGCATATTTTGTCCAATGCAGATTCTGATATATGCCTTAAACTGTTTTGATTTAAATAAATAAATAAATAAATAGATCCCACAGGGCGCAGTTTTACCTTAGCTGTCTCTTCTTGACTACCACTGGCCAATCAGAGGGAATATCTTCTACATCATCGACTTAAGAAACTTTGCAGCCTGAAAATATATAAATGACTACATTAATATTATTATATTTTTACCCCTAGCTGATTTGGTAGGCGTGACAGACATTTAAGCCTCTTGAGCTGATAGCAATTTAGTGAGAAACCCCTTGGAGATGGATTGATCCTGTTGAATCAAACTAGGTACGGGAACCCAGTCTTAAATCTTCATTTCATCACATGAATATTCACTACTGATTAAAACCATGCAGCCACCAGTCAGACTGGTTTTGTCCTGATTATGCTATATTACAGAAAGACCAGGACACTGATATCTATTCTTCTTATCTAGTAAGTGTGTGTACAAAAGATGAGAGACAGATACATACTGTATTGTATTTATTATTTCTTATCTTATCAAATATGTCAAGATGACTACTAATTAAAGGTTGGTGACATATATTATGTTCTTGGAGGTCCAAACAGAATATACATAATCTGACTAAAAGAATTCAGCAATAAATAAGGTTAAATAAATTATTTACAATCATAAAAAAATAAATAATGCTCTCCCTTACCCATTTAAATTTGTGCCTCAAATTAAAAAAAATTAATAATGCTTATTAAATAAGAATAATAATGACTTAATAATTATAATGTTTATTGAGCACAAAATGGTATGAAGATATATTTGCAGGCTTACTAGACTACAGTATTTACATAACATATAAAGATATACATTGACAACACTTGCTATACCCATACTACACATAAAATTATTTCTCAAATATTTAATTAATGTTTAGTTCTGCATCTTGCAATTTCAGTTCTACAGATAACAGAGGTTCTGCCAAAGATTGGAAAATTGTTTGTCCCTTTTTGGTTGCCGTCATGGCCTTGTCTAATTTGGTTATCTTGGGTCAAAAATTTGAGAAGTTGCTAGTGTACAATATTAGTTATGGGATGTCTACAGTTGGGGGTTCTGAAAATAAGGAATGGCCTAAAATTGATTAGAAATTTTGGGAATCGGAAAAATGTTGTAGGACTGCAAGATTTATGGGGTTATCATGCAGATATCACAACCTCTTTTTGTATAGTTTTCTTCACATTCAAAGCTGAGGTTGTAACATGGATGAATTTTATACACCAATATATTGTTTTTTAGTCTTTAAAATTTTGAAATCACAAAATTATTAAATGTTATGTTTATCTGCAAATATAAGTTTATTGAGCACTAAATGGTAACTTGGAAACATTCATAAATTAACTGCTGGCCTTATAGTAGGTTTCGTATAGCTTCTCATTTTCTCCTTCACATTCACTAAGAAAATTTTCATTGAAAGTGATCTATGATTTGTCTGAATTGGGTTTGCCGAAATATTCAGGAATGTTGGTTGCATGGACGAATGGTTGCTGGTTGCATTAAACAGGATTTGAAATGTTCCAGTTTTTAAAATTTGGTAAGAGATTGAAGAGGAAAAGATTGAAATTGTTGATATTGTTTGTAGCAAATCTGGCATGTTTGTAATAAAAATGGTAAGTCAGTTTTAATTTCAAAATTTTTCATGCGTGTTTGCATTGTCTTCTATATTTGCTTCAGTGAACTTCAGTAAATGATACTGAATTAGAAATACGATTTAAATATTAATAATTTATTTTTAAAATCTGAGGCACAAATGTTGTCAACTAAGGGAGATGTATCACAACTGTATTGTTATGAAAATAAAAGGGTCTGATACATCATTTATCTACACATGAAATGGACAGACAGTGGTCTCTTTCATTATAATTTTATCAACTTAAGTCGTCTTATCTGTAATTAAAACCATATATCTCTTGCAATAGCCCATTGTTTGAATAGGCTAATTATAACATTTATGTGTATACTCTGAGAAGCTGGTCAAGTTGCTGAAAGCTCCCAGATCTTACCCAGGTATAAAGACAACTGTGTGGAAGTACCTACTAAGTCTTGCTTTTTTATTCTTGGACAATGTTCCGGTAGATCTGATGCCCAAATCCCTCTGTGATATAATTACAGTAAATGTAAACCAATTATGCTGATTTTGGAAAGCAACATGCCTCTTTACCAAACAAAGCAACTCAGTAAATTTGAAGTAGAAAAAAATACAGTTTGGAATTTATGGGCCGAACATCACCAAATGTATAACCAAAAAACAGACACACACGCATAAAAAAGAAAAAAAAAACAGAATAATTACCGTAAATGTAAACCAGTCATTATCTTTTATCTGGTTAGGTGTAGCTTGATAGAAACTCATGTTACATGTTAATCAAAGCTTAGTGAAATAATTACAGATAATTAGATGCAGTGGGTTGTGAATTTTAATAATATCTTTAAAACATCTGAAATATTGTATAGAAATGACTTCTACCAATCAGATATATCCACTGTAACCGACAGTTAACATTGTCCAACAGAATGACTGTATTCAAGACTTTAAGCAGCAAGAGCCTACTTCAACTACATACACATTCCTCAGTACAAGGACTTGGTGCACTGGTAATATTTACAAGAAGATCATACAAACTCCAACTGTGTATGGTGCTCAATGTTGAATTGTGAACACAAGTATAGAATGAAAAGGACATATCAAGCCTGGATAAGTATAACACCTCTTCTTAATACATGTAACTGACTAACTAAAAGCAAAGTGTATGACACTGGTGTACTTCAGTAACTACCCAGTATGGCTGACAGGAGTTATGTACAAAAGAAGGGTGATGAATAGGAAAAGAAATTTATCTGATAGCCTTGGAAATGGGACTCAATGAAATTTTAAACAAGAATCTTTCAAGAAAATAATTACAAGTGTAGATTCTGTGACAAGATTTCATACAAATAAGTTCTTGCACCATTCATTGAAAAAATGCGCACTGAGGAGAAACTTTACAAGTGTAGATACTGTGAGAAAACTTTTACACAACAAAGATCTTGTATGGGCCATGAAAGAATTCACACAGGAGACAAACCTTACAAGTGTAGATTCTGTGACAAAACTTTTACACAACAAGGTTCTTGCACAAGCCATGAAAGAATTCACACTGGAGAGAGACCTTACAAATGTAGATTCTGTGACAAAACTTTCGCTCAAAAAGGGAATTGCATCAGCCATGAAAGAATTCACATCAGAGACAAACCTTACAAGTGTAGATTCTGTGACAAAACTTTCTCTCTCAAAGGGAATTGCACTGATCATGAAACCATTCATGGAGAGAAGCATAATCAAAGCAAGCACTGTGGCACAGAGTTTATGACAAAATTGGCCTTCACTAGTCCTAAAAAAATGCACACCTGTGAGAAACCTTGTAAATGTGGAATAGAATTCAGTCAAGAGCATAATTGCAGAACACACAAAACAATGCATATCCAAAGAAAACACAGTTCAAATACTTTACGGGAAACTAAAGGCAATGAAAGTGGGTGTAACAATGCTCCAGATTCAGAGGGAGAGACAGCTGAAATAAGGAATGTGGAAAATGAACTGACAAACAGTAATGCCAAAACCCATCATATATATGAGGAAGAAAGAATAAAATACTATTTTAAAGGTGATGACACTTTTACCACGGAGAATATCACCATCATTTCTGACAATGATGTCTATGAAATACTTACTGGTATAAAAAGAACCACGCCAGGTGTCATCACAACAATTATGAAAAATCCTTTCTACAACTCAAAATGATATGTTCAGATGACAGAAACAGAAAACTAACAAAAACAGCTATTTAAAGCAATAATAACTCTTCCTTTGAGATTCAAAATTCTGCAAGAAATACATTGTAAACAACCAATTGTTATTGTAGTAAAGCTAAAATCTGTGCTTGTCAATAGGGCTTTCGATGCCTTTCTTCCCAGTCGTTAAGGCATCCGTTGCCAATGACGTTGGGGTGTCACGCGGATTCTCGCGTTCATTCGAGACCAAAATAACTTCTGGCGCCAAAAGCCTGATGAAATAGCAACTAAGTTGCGAGTTTTTGTACAGTGCATCGGATAAAGAAAAGCCCAGAATAGCACAGATAGCACACACTGTAGATATAAATGCATTTTGAGCAATAAGACGAATATATCTTATGAATCTTATATTATTGTTATGGTGTTGTTGTTGTCTGCTTTTCCCGCGGTTTTAAGTAGGTCACCAGAAACTATCGCTCGATATCGCGACTATGCATTGCAATGTCAGAGAGAGCTTCGTCAGTTAAAATCGCTTAAGAGATTTTAACAAAAAACCAAACGTTTAGGAAAAAAAACCTGGACTAACTTTGAATGCAGGAATGGGGTCGCTGACCATTGGTAAGTACGGGAAAATTGCCGTTTACTCCAGGAAAATCCAATTTTTGGCCAAAACGAAGTTATTATGACTTTAAACAATCAAGACATTCGNGGTCTCCACACTTCCATGCACAACTTGTTGGAACCCATCACTAATTGTGCAACTGCAAAAAAAAAAAAAAAAAAAAAAAAAAAAAAAAAAAAATATATATATATATATATATATATATATATATATATATATATATATATATATATATATATAAATCTTTCTTTAATCAAGAAATATAGTGAAAAATTAGGATTATTGGTAAAATAACACTCTGACTATAATTACTAACTCCATTTACACACTCAGAACATGTGTCACAATAGCAAGAAAATGTGAAATCATTATAATACTATTAATAGTCTACAAAATGAAACAAGTGTCCAGCCTAATACAAGTCGTCAGAATCAGTCATGGCTATGAGCAAGACCTGTGGTCAACTCCCAAAGCTAAAGACAAATTTAACATTATTCTAACATAACTGTGAAATGAGGAGTCTTAAAATGAACACAAAATAAACTGCTTCCTTACATGTCATCATACTGAGGCTCATCTTCCAGGCTCTGCAGCACAGTGTCACCAGTGTCTTCTCTGTCATAGCACCTGATATTGTACATTGCTACATCATATATGCCATTCACAAGGAATGTTCCTATATTGACAAGGAGGCTGGAGAGGAAGATACCTCTACAGCGTTTGACACTCGCACTCGCCAGCTCGCCAATGCGCGTTAAAATTAAATCTGGCGAGTGAAAATTATGGTGCAAGTCGCCATTTTGGCGATTTATGACAACTTACTGTGTTAAGTTTATCGGCAAAATTTAGACTCAATTTAAGTCCGACTCGTATGCCAAAATTTACAGGGAAGTCCATGGGATTACCCTTACTGCTAACCTCGTTTTCACTCTCATAATCGTGATTGCTTGAAGTTGGGGAATTCCGTAATGACGTATTCACAGTCTCGCTGTCGTTTTTGAAAGCATCTAGCTTTCGTTTGCGCGCCGGGTTTTGACGAAGTATAGGAAATGCTGTCTGTTTCGTTTCACTTATATATTACGTCTTGCGATTTTGCGCAGTTGACGCTTCCGGGAGAAAACGTGATGCACGTGGATCATCAAGCTGCATGGAGAACTTTTTAAACAATTCAAAACGCCAAGNAATCTTTCTTCAATCAAGAAATATAGTAAAAAATTAGTATTATTGGTAGAATAACACTGACTATAATTACTAACTCCACTTACACACTCAGAACATGTGTCACATAAGCAAGAAAATGTGAAATCATTATAATCCTATTAACAATCTATGAGAAACGGCTATGAGCAAGACCTGTGGTCAACTCCCAAAGCTAAAGACAAAATTAACTTTATTCCAACATAACTGTGAAATGAGGAGTCTTAAAATGAACACAAAATAAACTGTCTCCTTACATGTCATCATACTGGGGCTCATCTTCCAGGTTCTGCAGCACAGTATCACCAGTGTCCTCTCTGTCATAGCACCTGATATTGTACATTGCTACATCATATATGCCATTCACAAGGAATGTTCCTATATTGACAAGGAGGCTGGAGAGGAAGATGCCTCTATCAAGCTGAATGACACCAACAGCATTGAGAAGGGTACTGGTAAGCAGCATGTTTGCAAACATGTAGTTCAAGGTGCTGTTAAACCACAGAAGGACAGGGGCTAACTTCAAGCTGAAACAGCATGTCCATCCATGACAGGACCACAAATACAGAAGGCAAGTTTGCAGTCCAAACCTGAAAAATATTTTAATAAATTAAAAATTATATCAAATATCAAAATACGGATATTTTACATGAAAATTACTACAACTACATTCCATGTTGAAGAAAAACTGAATACTGCATTAAAAAATCAGAATATGTGTCATTATTATTATTATTATTATCTTTCATATTTTATTTGTTGATAACTTGTAAAAGCAGACATTTCAAAGTACATCATATGCTTATTTATCAATTGTGAGAAAGTCTCTAACTTACCTGTAGTTCTTACAAGACTCCAAAGTGGTGTATCCCACTGTGAGGCATCCATTGCTGCTGAAGTGGGATTCACAGCCAGATACTGTATCATATACTGTTATGTCCAGCACATTCCTTCAATGAAAGAAAAATAATAATAATAATTCATTCAAATATCTTTATACAACACATTTAACAATCAATATTTCAAATAAATCTGGGCTTCCATCCATCTAAACTGAGAAGCTAGCTAACAGTTTTTTTTTCAAAAATACATAAGAGTATGTTAAATTGGCATTGAACTTCATCTGAATATGTAAAAATATCTGCTATAAATAACATAACAATATGAATATAAGTTAAACTACAGATGCATCCAAGGTATTCAAGACACAAAGCATATTTCAGAACAATGACAAAAATCATCTTCATTTAATTTGCAGAACTTTCTTTGTACAGGTCCAATAGTGTAAATATGTTTGTGATGTTCCAGTTTGTATTTTTAAAATTACCATTGAGCTCCTGGTCTATCACTGATGTACACCACAACCTTCTTCAGTTTTCCCAGGGACTCTGAGTTTAAAATAAAAAAGATTCACTATAATGATTAAATGTTAGTGTGTTGTTTTTGAGTACAACATGCATCAAATATAACAGAGTTGTAGTTTAATTCTAAGAATAAATTTAGTTAATGCATAACAATACCATAAGAACCCTGTTTTACAAATCACCAAGAATTCTTGCACTAACTCTCTTTGAACATGCTCTGCACTTAACTTTATGATAAAAAGTCAACATAACTGAGTTAACATGATACTTTAAGTAATAGTAATCATATATAATATAGCCACTGACTGAGATGAACAGCAAACTGCGACCTGATGTTTCAGTTAAGACTGTACATGCTGAATTGAATGTAATAAAGTAAATGTAATAAAGTAAAAAACTCTATATGACATGTGTACGCTATAGACACTAGTGTAAACGCTCTGCTGTTTTCTGTAGATGAAATCTCTCCTTGGACACTGATCGAAATAACAAAGTTACAGGTGGACTATAAAGGTACACTGTATCAGGTAACGCACTTCATTATAGAAAAAACGCTCATTATAACGCGAAGATTTGGATTTTTTCATTTGAACTATAGGCCTATATCTATACGTACAGAAAGAAACTGTCAAATTTGAGAAGTGCTNTTGTTAGTTTGTTCATAGAAGTAGAGAACTTTGGTTGAGCCTTTTTGAAGGCAAAAGCTAGCAAAGAAAAGAAAGGATGTAGCTTTAAAATGGAAAGCAAGGAAGCAACCAAGGGCAAAGAAAAGTATAGGAAGCACGATTAATTTAAATTAATATAAAAAAAAATAGTGAAAGTAGGGTCTAATGAATTAGTCTCAAACAAAAGAAAACAATAACACGAAGTAAGATGCTGAATGCATGGAATTTTGACAAACCAAATTTGAAGAAAAAAAAAAAAACTTCACAATGTGTGCTAAATGAATGGTGAAAAAACATTAGTTCCCCGTGAGTTGTTTTAATGTATATCACCTGCTTTGTAAACTAAAAAGGTGCAAAAGAGTTACATAAGTCTATAGTTTGATGATATACTTACCTCCATGGAGAGGTTGCATGAGTAGCAACATCAACAAAACTTTGATCTTCAAGTTCTTCATACTGGCAATTTTTTATATGTTCTCCCTGTATCAAATAATATGAAGCCGTGTACAACAAACACGTATATTTAAAAAAGAAGTCGCGATTCAGCGAATAAACGAGAAATTATCGATATTTCAAACAATTTGGACGGAGTTGACTTTGACTTCCGCCCAAATCTCACAAATATCTGTTGCTAATTGACGTCACAGACACAATCAGCTCACGTGACCATTGTGCTGTGCTGGGATGTGCGGTTGTGATGTTAAAACAGCCAAATCGATAAAACAATAATAATTATAAATATCATTCACCTTGAAGGTTCACTGCACTAATATCATTAATTAGCAGGGGCGGATCCAGGATTATTTGAAGAGGGTGTCCGCGGATGCGAAGTCGACCCCCCCCCCCTTTGGCGTGGGTTCGGGGCCTGCTGAAGATCCCCGAAAAAATGGTAGCTTTTGAGGGCGGACGGTGTCATCTGGTATTGATTAAAATTATGATTCAGCTAGTCAAAATTCTAATTTCAGGAGGGGATGATTGGTGCAATTTTTTACAGAAATCGAAAAGGGGGGGGGGGGGGGTAAGAGCCCCCTGAATAAAGGTTAGACATGAATCTCAGCAATATTATTATTACTTAAATACACATGTGAATCCTGCACATGTGCGCACACACACGCGCGCACTGATATATGCACACTATATTGCAGAGCACAATTTAGCCTTTGACACAAGAGCTCCGAGAACTGGAGTAGTTTTCATTGGATGTCAACGTAAGCGACGCAGATGTGTCAACCTCATCCACCAGATCCAAAGGCGTTCCAAAATGAGCCCAACACACTTAAAAATATGTCATACAAAGTTTAAATATCTCTACTGAGTACGTAAAATTCAACAAGTATGTAAAAGTCAAGATTTCGTTGCTGTCAGTCACAAGCAGGTACCTCTGTCTAAACGGCCTTGACCTATAATCATATTATTTGACTTGAGTCTATGCCAATCTAAGTGTGCATATATTTAATTTTATTTCTTCACCATGATTTTCTGTCGCAAAAGATGTCCTAAATAAATAAATAACCACACTAGAATGACTTTATTTTATAGTTTGATATGAGTGTGGTTTGTGTGACTGCATTGAGGTGGGTAACGTGACAAGTGGGTCGAGTCCATTCTATTTGAGGAGTTACAGGTAGGACGAGTCCATTCTATTTGAGGGGTGACAGGTAGGGCGAGCCTATTCCATTTGAGGGGTGGCAGGTGGGGTGAGTCCATTTCAACTGAGGGGTGACAGGTGAGGCGAGTCAATTCCATTTGAGGGGTGGCAGGTGGGGCGAGTCCATTCCATCTGAAGGGGTGACAGGAGGGACGAGTTCATTTCATCTGAGGGGTGACAGGTGGGGCGATTCCATTCTTTTTGAGGGGTGACAGGTGAGGAGCGCATACACGTAAAATCACCACAAAATTACATTATAATGTCCGTGCAATTAACTTTATAAAATATATTTTTCTAAATATATTGTGTTAGCAAAGTTTTGAGGGGATATAAACTTGTATCATGCAGAAATAATCATTAAATTATTGGTCTCAAAATTTGCTTTTCCCCAATTTCATATAAATATAACCTTTTTGTCGGTACATTTGGGACCGTGTGGAAATAAATCTACGTCACAAAACTAAATTAAGGGATCAATATATTTAAAACTTTTTTTTTTGGAAGAAGCAAATTTCAACTGTTGCCATTTCAAGTGTGTCTCTCAAATTTCTCATTTTTTTCGTTTTAATTTTAATTAGAAGTATTCATATGATAAGAAGATCGTGAAATTTGAATCAATTTTCTGCAACAATAACCAGAATCCTTCAAAAAACTGAGAGAATGATATCCAGAAGAACGTACTCATTTATTCCAAGAGATATAAAAAACTATCTAACTACAGAATAAAATACAGAATAGCTTTTCAAAAAGCAAAATCGTAAATTCACACATATTGTATTTATAAATGTGGGCTGTTGGAAAATCTTGAACGTGTATTCTTAAAATGATCAAACTCAATAATTTACAAAATACTAGGAATATTTACAAACTTTTTAAAAAAACTTTTGGTTTTAGATATCTTCTGTTTCTGCAGAAATCAACAATCCCAAACACAATATTTACAGATCAGTTTTAGCGGATTAAATTCGAAAGTACTCAAACAGTTATCATACCTTTATTATTACCACTATTTTTATTGACATTATTTCATACCAAAGTAAAAGAAACAAGCAATGACAAACTTATCTATTCAGCTTTTATAAAAATGCAATAGTTGCATGAATTTGCGTTTGGTTCCAGAAAGTGAATGAAAGGCTTGGTTGCTAGCAGGCGGGTGTTGCGCAGTACTCAGTATCTCAGCGGACTTCTGAAATGAGAAAGTAATGTAATGCAATATTTGACTAAACGGGCAGACTCGGAAAATACAACAATGCATTTTACATCAAAATGAAGAGGGCGCTTGAGGGAATTTACTGACTTGTCCGATGTTCAGGCTCAGATAGCACCCCTCAAAAAACCAATCTACATCGTGGTGACCTTACGCCAAAATTAAGATCTGAGGTTATTGATAAAGATATTTGAGATATCTTGCTTTGAAAAAATAAACATTGAAAACAATTCTTTAATGCGTGGAGGTTATTGCTAGAGACTTTAATTTATTTTACCTACTATTCAATGTTGTAATATCTAAAATCGCTATGCAACACGCGTTTGTGCGCCATATTTTGACCATAAAATTGACGTACACGTTGATAGGGCACACTTGTCTTTGGACCGAAAGCTCAGAACTGTGACAAGTACAGTATTATCATCTACATTAGTCCGCGATTTTTGTGGTAATATTCCCATTTACTTTCATGCTGGCTAATATTCTGGGTGACATAAAAGAAACGACAGGCAAAACATAACAAAGAATCGCAACATAAATACTTGTCGTAATTTTCCTTGCATTCTTTCACGCTTTTTACTGACTAAGATTTCTGAAGAAAAAGTGATACTTACGAAACATTCATTGACCAGTGTCTTCTCCTTATAAAAGCTTGACCTTGCAACTGTATCACTCTTGCTGTTGCGTCTTCACCCTGATGTGTCCTACTGCCTAGTGAGCATTAGGGGAAGACAGCCCGCACTACTACGAGCAACTTATTGTTATGCAAATTACAGACAGGTATGGCCCATTTTAGGTGAGGGACTGTGGCTAAAACTGTTCACGAATGTTCAGGGTCAAACACACGTACATGAAGATTTGACTGTGGTCCACTTGTTAAAATACACCACTTTATTTCACAAATATTGCGCATGCGTCTTCCATCATGTAGTTTAATAATTCTTTGATACATTACATAACTCAACACCAGGGAAAGAGGGTGAATGTTGATATTTTTTATCGATCAGTAGGCGTACCTATAATCCTGTTGTTGATATAATGGAATGGATAAATCCTAGTCCCGTTCGGATCCAAGTGCCAATATCAAATAAATAAATAAATAAATACCGAGAAGCCTGTGTACCAACATGTTATGGGCCAAACAATACGATATTTTATAGCAATAATGACTCTAATCGGTAGAAATAGTCATGGGCGAAACAAGACGGGCCACTGTCGGGATAACGTTGCCTGGCGGATCAAGATTTTATTTATTTATTTATTTATTTTTGCAAATATTGTTGAAATACTTATTTGTTGTTTAGTGTTGCATATTTGGGGACAAAATCTTAGTAGTTCGGGAATGTTATCATAGTGTTTTTATGCATGCGTTAGATTAAGTTGGGGGTCAGTTTTCATCGGCAACAGACAACAAACAAGAGTATATGGTTTTTATCAACTCAATAATATCAAAAGGGTCGAGGCTGGGAAGATCCGAGATGAGCGTTTCATGTTTATTTTTATCTTATTCTTGTTTGGGAAAGTCAAAACTGGAGGATACTGACAGTGTGTTTGGGGGGGGGGGGGGGCTGCGTGCGGGTATTGGGGGGGGGGGGGCAGTGGGGGATGGTCCAAAAAAGATAATATGGAAGACTGACACAAAATATCTCTGGATCCGGTCCCGACATAAGAAAACCCTTCGTCGCCCAACCCGACTCTTTCTCTCTCTCTCTCTCTCTCTCTCTCTCTCTCTCACACACACACACACACACACACACACACTAAATAGATAAACAAGTAAATGAATAAACAAACAAAAATGTAATTCTGTTTCTTTTCTTTCGAAATTTTTTTCTTCAGTGTTTAGAAAAGAAACACTTAGGTTTTTTAGACTTCTGTTTTAAAGTTTGCTTTGGCTACATAAAATTAGAAATGACACCAAAACATTTTAGATTTATTAATGCTACAAATAGTCTGTCATTTTTTTTTCATAATAAGACTATTCAGAGGAAATATGTTATTCTGGCACGATCGATTTCGTTTAGCTCATCAACTGAGATGTACATAATCTGATTGAGTTTCATTTCATTTATTTATTACCTTGGTCTCTTGAGGACCATCAGTCTTGTACTGGTACAAATGTTACAACGACTATAGTTACAACAACTATAGGGTTATTACAAAGAATAATTATAATAGTAATAATCGCAATCATAATCATCATAACAATAATAATAGTACCTGTAGTAAATTAAATACATGAGTACTTAAATAAATAAACTACTTGAATAAATCAAATTAAATCAAATTGAATCAAATGAGATCAAATTGGATCAAATTAGATCAAATTAGATTAGATCTCATGCCGAAGCCTTCCTGCTTGGCTAAGATATCGTGCCAGGTTACATAATACTTTCTTACTGGAAGAATTTAGCAGGAGAACCAATTTGAATACCGAGGGTCTATTACAGTAGAAAGGTTTGATGAACCTTTTTCTTAAATCTAAATATCTAGAGCAACCCAGTATAAAGTGGAATTCGTCCTCCACATCATTGCAATAGGAACATTTTCTTTGTGAAATATGGATTTTACTGTATCTGCCCGTTTCAATTGCAAGTTTA